CCATCATCAGTATCATTAAAAGTTTCTGGTATTTCTCCTCTGTAAAAAAGGCATCAGAATCCCACTTAACAACAATCTCATCCCCCGTGTCTTGCGAGCGCCCCCTCTGGTGGGGAAACTTTTTTCAGGTAGACCAACTTTTACAGAACACCGGTAAATGGCAGCCATTACAGCAGACCATGCGTTTGTTGTTGTCCCAGGAGCGGCCCGGTCGCACATTTATATCATTAGTTCGTTATGCAGGACTGCCTTTTTTTCTTCTTTTTTTTTTCACATCATGTTGCCTGCTTGGATCTGTTACTATCTCGCTCTGAGGCACAAAGGAGTTTTCGAGGTAAGTTCGCTTCAACCGCTTTTTACGACGGGGTTTCATTTCCAGACTCAGGGATTTTGTGGATGAGGCCGATATTTCAGTTAAAATACATCAGCAAAAATATTTATCCGAGTATAGTACTACCCCCCAACTTTATTTTACACTTTAAATATATGAGGGGAAAATATATTGCATAGTGTCCTACTATAAGGGAAGTGCACTGTATTATTGACTGTTTTTGTTTGTGTTATTTATTTTATAAAGTAGCCTGGAATAAAATGGGAAATGTCTGAACTTATATAATGCTTTATCAAGCCCAGTCAGACCCCAAAGCACTTTACACTTCACCCATTCACACATACTGATAGTGGTAAACTACAGCCACAGCTGCCCCGGGGCACACTGACAGAGGCAGGGCTGCCATGCACCGGTGCCATCGGACCCTCTGACCACCATCAGTAGGCAAGTGGGTGAAGTGTCTTGCCCAAGGACACAACGAGTGAGACAGCTGGAACGGGGGATCGAACCGGTTACAGGATGACGCCCCTAAGCACTCCACCACAGAAATACTTTGCTATTTTAAGTGACTGTTTAACATGACGTATGAAAGAAAGGTTTATGACAATTCATTGTTCTTTAAATGCAAAAAGAGAAAGGGTTCCAACTCAATCAATAACTCTTTTCAATAATTGTAATCACAACATCAATAATACCTGTAATAATTAATTATTCATTTATAGTCATTGTTAACACAACAGATATTTACTGACAGGGTAAACACACAATTTATAGTCTAGCAATTTACTGTCATTGTAAATACAATGAAAATTTATTAGTAGTGTTATTACACTGGATTTTTCTTGTCCGAGTACTGTCTACATATCTGTCACTGTTAATACAGAAAACATTTAACCTCAGTCTTATTTCACCGAATACTTAATGTAAGTGTTACACATAATATTTCATATTTACTATCACTATTAATACACTGTGAGTGTTGCTACATTGGAATTTTTATTATGATAATGTTAACAAGATACTCACTGTTCGCCATAATACACTGGTTTTTTTAATGCCAGTGTTATTACACTTTAATACACTGAAATTATAATACCACTGTTAATACACTGGATTTATAATATCATGTTATTAAAAAAGTAAAATTTCTAATGTCAGAGTTTTCACTGGATTTTTTTATGTCAGTGTTAAAACACTTGTATTAAATTACTGATTATTTACTGTTGGCGCAAATACACTGGATTTTAATTGTCAGCATTAAAACACTGTCAGTGTTACTACACTGTGTATTTTGTCAGTGGTGTTATTGCACTGCATTTTTTTATTTTCAGTGTTATTATACTGGATTTTTATTTTCAGTGTTATAACACAGGATTTTTGTTCAGTGTAATACACCAGATTTTTATTTTCAGTATTACAACACTGTATTTTGATCGTCAGTGTTGTTGCACTGGGTTATTATTTACAGTGTAATACACTGGATCTACGTGTTCCCAACACATTCCAAACGGCTGAGGTTAAAAAGGTTCACAGTTACTTGAATTTACTGCCAGCAGGAAGGAAGGGCGCGCTCACAAACAAAAACCACGCACGAGAACTGCTCTAACACGTGCGCGCGTCTTACTCACGCGCTGACACAGCCCATCCCCCACACCTAGAAAGAAAATGTCAAAATAAACGGCAACAGTGGCGTAATAACCAGCTCATCCCGCTATTATACGGTCATATATGATCACTGTACGCGAGGGTATAATTTATAATGATTAATGGAGTAAAACAAAGCAAATACACTTACCTTAAGCTCAAATGACACCAGGGAGGGGTGGTGGGGGAAGGCTCCTAATGTGGAATCTCCTCCTCCACCACCGTAGGTTTCTGGCTCTGTTTAGACCTCCAAAACGCGTTATAGCGGTCTCCGGACCCGCTCGGCTGCTGCTTGGGACTCCCAGTGACCGATATGTTTTGTGTTTCCGGGCATAAATGTAGAAATAAAGCTGTAAATTTGAGCTGGATGTACAGTTTGTTCTCTGGTAGAAAAAAGAGCCAAACGGTTCCGTAGCAGCCAAAGGCTTCAGACTGAAACACAGAGCTGCTGACCCGCCAGGAGAAAATGAGGCAGGCCGGGGCTCCTCTCTGCAGGAAGCTCACTCCAGTCACATAAACATCAAAAACCCTGTCGCAGTGTGGAGAAGTATGGGTCCGTGCTGCTGCTGCTGGAGCTCGTTTTTTTTAAATGAGGGGGGAGTGTATGCATGGGGGTCTCTGATAAAACAACTGCTAAACATTTCCTTAAAATACTGCTCATGCTTAACAATTGATAACGCTTAGCTGCAGTGTTCTGCATTATATTCAAGAAAAAATAAACATACAGTACAAAATAGACCCGGGGTGCCCAAACATTTTCCCTGGGAGGGCCAAAATTAAAATCAATCTGAGGGCAGAGGGCCAAATGCAATAATATAAGAAATGCAAATACTTAAGTAAAGTTGTTTTATTTTTTTATAACTAAGCTAGCAGTCAGTGTGGTTGCCCACGTTCTTTAGTGTTTTTTTTTCCAGCCCATAGCCATGGAGAAAATTCAATGTATGCTCAGGCAGCAAAGACTCATGGGACTTTTCGTAATTTAAAATTTGAGTATATGTGGTCTTACAAGGTGTGCAAATCTACTGTATATATGGGCTTAAATCTAATCTAAATGTCTTTTGTAGTTACTTATATTTTTTTATTTAATCTTACCATAATTACAATCTAATAACCAGGACAACTGCAGGTGGGCCAAATCAAGTGGCTCGGCGGGCCAATTTTGGCACACGGGCCCCACTTTGGGCACCTCTGATACAGACTATATTTATATATACGATAATAAAATACTTTTTTTTTCAAAGAGTCATGCACCAAGTTAATTTTTAACTAAAGTTAGATGAAAATGAAATGAACACATAGTCCTACTGTGAATGTTATTTATTTATTTATTTTTTTATTTATTTATTTATTTATTTTTGGCTCTGATGACAATAGCAGATGAAATTGGAAAGGGCAACAGAAATACAATGGAGTAGCCAGATAGTATGATCACCATGTGCTATCACTGAGCATTATTTACATGATGCCAAAGCCACACAATGTTGACAACTTGTGTGTGCTGTATTGGTCATTGTTCTAAAGATGTATATACAGTATATATATACAGCGGGTAAAATAAGTATTGAACACGTCACCATTTTTCTCAGTAAATATATTACTAGAGGTGCTAATGACANCTTTAAAAATGTATCAAAAGAAGAATATGCTGTTATGAACCTCCTACGAAGCCTTGTCAATCAGCAGAGGCACTAGTGTGCTGTCTTGCGTCATGAATTAAGCTTTAGTTAATATTCAACTTTACCAACTGCAACTCAAATTAAATGTAAATGTTGTCCTTTTTGCTTAGTTCTGAAAATATTTACTTAAATATTTAGATATGGATAGAAAATATAGAATAGAAGATAAGCTTCAGTTACTGCTTTACAGTGATTACAACACTCAAGTCTAGAGAGCAATTACCCTTGGTTTAATGATTTAGTTTATTTAGACTAGTATTTACAAAAAAACAAACTAAAAAACATAAGCATAATATTACATTGTGTGAGGTTCTGGTTCTGATAACAACTAATGACAAAACATTAGACTTATATTGGCTGATTTTTGTTTATATTGGCCTGCTGCCATGCTGGGCAGTAAATAAGGCCTAGCGTCTACCTAGATGGCACCACAAATTCTCGTATCATTAGCACAGACTGTGCTGAAGTTGGTCAGTCGTGTCCATTTCAGTGATATGGGTACACTGCTGGTTCCATGTTTGTAGAGTCCATTGATTGATTGTAAATTGAAAAAAATAGACATGGCATTCCCCCTTTTTCCAATATTGGTAAGTGAAGCCACAAGATTTTATTCATGGTGGCTGCCATCCTATATTTTTGGAAATATGAGGCTACTCATCTTCACACAATCACATTATCACATGACCTTGCTTTTAAGCACGAAATAACTGTGTAAATATGTTAGAAACATGAACATTAGAACATGAAAGGTACTAAAACATCATCTAGTAAAAAAAGAGGTGTATTTAAATTTTTTTTTACAGTTTGTTAAAGTGAGGTGGGATTTAAAACTTGTACTAGAACCAGTCTACAGGAAAGCTAGCCCCATTCCAGCTTCAACTACTGAGTTTCTGTGGATGTCTACGGTATTTTTTGTTTTTTTTTTTACAGTAGAGGTCATGGACAGAGGCTCCTGTATGAGACTGCTGCCAACGTTACAGTTTGCACCACACCAGCTCACTTCCCATAACCCATAGTGACACATTTAACATGGCTACTACCACTAGTTGTATGGGAGTATGAGACTATCACCATAACTTCAAGACCATGCCAAGGATTTTTGCTACCTACCAAAAACACGCAAAGTAGGGTTGGGCAAAATCATATTCCATACAATTAATTGTCCTAACCCCTAACACTGTCAACGATTAATATTTGCCACTTTGCAATTAGTGCAATTTAGTGCCATGTGATAAAGTATTTTTGTGTGCAACACACCATCATCACTACCAGGTGTTCATGTGAGCCCAATGGTGGAAGGCAGCACAGAGCAACTAATGCTAACCCTCACCAGAGGCCACAATGTTGGCGACATGCAAGTGCAATTGTCATCTATTCATTGTCATGGAATAAATGAATTGTGATAAATTAAAATTAAAATCAGACATGAAATCAGTTTCCTTATACGGACTAATTTCTCATATGTGAAAAGTCACACAGCAAAGCCTGAAGAGACAGGCCATAAAGTAAAGTAGACCTATAGCCAAAGGCAACTGTCCTTATTTCAGATTTTTTTCATTGGTTTTACTCTTGTTTTTTGCATCGTTTAAATTGTGCTGTATCATCATCCTCTGTGCAGCTCATGTTAGCCTGGTTTTAAACCAAAACTGTTAAGCAAAAGGGTTTTGAAGGGCACACTTACCTTGTTAAAGTAATTTTACAATGTATTTATTTTCTGTACAGGTTTCATATTTAAAAGACATTGGTTAATATTGGTATGAAGTTGACAAGCTATCATTCCACCTTCGTTCAGAAAGCTAAACAAAAGGAGCAGTGTGCTTTCAGTTGCAGCTTCACAAAAACATACACTGGATGTATTTTCATCCTGTTTTCGTTCGTCCATTTTAGACAGGGGGAACAGATTCTGTTGGCTGTGTCAGCTGCATGCATAGATCCATGCAAGTGGTGCGAGACAAGAGAAGTGTAGCTAAAGTAAATCTGTCATCTCTAAGCCAATGCACAGCAAAATAACAGCAGTGGGAAGCTCCTTCAGTGACAAGCTGCTGCATCCCAAATGCACAAAGGAGTGATATTAAAGAGCTTTTCCTTCCAGCAGCTGTTGGACTGTACAACCAGCACTGCTGCCAACAAACCAAAGAAACAGTTTGCAGCACTGCTGATCGCCATATTCCACTTCACCCAATGCATATTTAAATATCTACATTATCAAATGTGTAGTTTTTCACTCAGTGTTTTTGTCACAGTTGTCTAGTGTTTCTGTAAGAGAGAAAACTTTTAAAAAATCCATCCATCCTTTATTTTTTTTTACCCCCTTCTTCCTTTCAGGGTCACTGATGCCCATATCCAGCAGTCACAGTGCGAGGAGCGGGGTGCTCCCTAGATAGGTTGCAAGTCCATCACAGGGATACATAGAGACAAATGAGACAAACCACCATTCACTCACTCATAAGGACAATTTAGAATTCTCAGTTAGTCTAACATTCATGTTTTTGGTCTGTGGGAAGAAACCAGAGTACCTGGGGAAAACCCACACATGCACGGAGAGAACATGTAGACTCCGCCCAGATAGCAGCTTACTGAAAGGCAAAAGCTCTACCAACTGAGCCAACGTGCCACCGCTTAAAAAAAGTTTCTACAACTAATACAATTCTCTGATAACTGTTTCCCCCAACAGTTAAAAACTATGAAAGTTAACATATAGTTACCATTTAACCCATGGGTAGCAGCTGAAGGTAGGGGGCCTTGGTGCTCTGACCCTAGCCAACCCAAGCTGGCTCTATCACAATGGAATGTCATCTTTCTTGAGGGAAACGACCCAGAGCTTGAGGTGAAAAGGTATTGTCTAGTTGTGCTCACCTCAACACGACATGTGTTTGGAAACATACCACTCTGAGAGCAGGAACTGGACCTTATCTGAATCTGCAGTCGGCCATGGTGAGAGACGCTGGGCTCGTGTGAGCCCACTTACAGCCCTTGTCCTTGGTGCCTGTGTGTTGGAGTTTTCTCTTGTGCCTTTAGGTGGCGGGACAGGCCCTAACTGTTGTTTGTGCCTATACCCAAACAGTGCACAGAATCTAGCCTTCTTGGAGTCCTTAGCGGGAGTGTTGGAAAGTGTTCCAGCTGAGAACTTTGCTGTTCTTCTGAGGGACTTCAATACCCACATGGGTAGGGACCAAATGGTAGGGACAGTGTAAGTTGGAAGGGCGTGAATTGGAGGCATGGCTTCTCATTCTTCGAGAAAGACATTGAGAGTTACCAGTTGAGGCGGATCAGGCAGTTGGTACGGATCCCCCCAGGAACCCTCCCTGCAGAGGTGTTCCGGGCATGCTCAACTGGGAGGAGGCCCTATGGAAGACCTATGACACACTGGAGAGATTATGTGTCTTGGTTGGCCTGAGAAAGTCTTTGGACAGAGATGTCTGAGGCTGTGTCCAAATATAGGGGCTGCGTACTTCGAAGGACCCGGCCTATCCAGTCTAGGTGGGCTAGGTCCTTGGAAAGATGCAGAAGGTCCTTGATCAAGCACGAAGACTGGAAAAAAGTGGCTGTGAATTTGGACGTTTTAGCCTTATGCTTTATTCCCATACTTACCCTGGCATAGCAACCGTAACAACACTAAACAGAAGCAAAAATAGATCAAAGTAGCAAAATATCAGTGTATTAGTATTATTATTATAAAAACACAAAATTAGCAATATTTGAAGAAATAACAGATCCGCCRAATGTGTACATTTATTTACTATACCAGCTCATTGGATTTCTGACAAGAATATTATTAAAAAAAACACTACTATGCAAATAACAAAAGCATTACCAACACAACCACTTGAAAG